ATAACGCATCCAAATAGGGATTACATTTAAAATATCTACATTCCAGCTTTTCTTTTTTAAAAATGGCTAGACCAAATGGGCTCATATTCTTGCATGGCACCAGCCAGGTTCTAAGTGATAGCTACTTCATTAGTGGTTGTTCTGGTGGCCTAGTGGTAAGGAGTTGCACTGTCAACCTGAAGGAATGCAGTTTGAATCCTCTAGCTGCTCCGAGGGAGAAAAATGGACAGTCTCCTCCCATGTGATTTAATGCCTCAGAAAACCTGCAGGAGAGACAGGTTTGAGTTGATTCCGACTCAATAGCACAAAACAACATGTGCCACTGTTAGAAATGACTCACAGTTTTCAGAGGCTGTAGATCACATGGGAAGAGATTGTCATTCTCCTGAGCAGTGTCTGGTGGATTTGAAACCCTTGTCTTTGGGTTAACAGCACAATTCCTTCCTATTTAGCCACCAGAGCACCTTTAGGGAAGGTATGTGCCATTCAGCGAGTGCGAATGGCCTCAGTAGCAAGGAGTTATGCTGCTAAGGCAGGCGGTTCAAATCCATCAGTCACTCTGACAGAGAAGATAGGGAATCACCTCCTGTGCTATTTACAGCCTCTGAAAACCAGCTAGCGGCTTAGCTATGAGTTGAATCTGACTTGATAACAATAACAGCTTTGTTATTTAAGTGGACAAACTGTTCCACTCCTATGCCTTACATCTGGTATGCCTCACTCACCTGGATCACCTATTTGGCAAATGTGTACATTTGATACTGCTGTACTTCGCGTAGTTTCTGGGGTTAGTTGTCTATGGGTTGGAGTCCTTGCTTGGCCAACTGAACTTGCACAAACTACTTTGTCTCTCTAGGCTTTGATTTTCTCATCTCTAACATGGAGATAAGACTGTCATGTTAACTTTCATTTTGAAGTTCACATGTAATAATTCTCATAAAGTATTTTGTATGGTGTATGGCATATATGTGAGACTGTAAAGGCTGCTATTCCAATTAATTTCAATTCCTCAGAGTGATGTTCTGGAAGTTTGGAACAAGAAAGCCTATTCTAGATTCTAAGTGTGAAGCAGGCTATTGGAACCATTGACCATGGAAACATGATTATCTTTTAATAGGTATTGTAGTGTGTGATCCACACAGCCGGACCAATGCACAATATTATGACAAACTGAGAAAATATCGAAGTCAAAGATTTCATACAGTGAACACTCAGGGAAGCGACAGAAAGGAAATCAAATTACTGTAATTGGGAAATCTGCCAAGGACCGCTAACCTCCTCCTATGTTTGTTAAAGTTGGACAATGAATAAGGAAGAAAAATTAATTGATGGCATGGATTTGTGGTGTTGATGAGCAATACTGACTATACCGTGGACTTCCAAAAGATAATAAGCAAATCTGTCTTGGAGGAAGTATAGCCTGAATGACCCTTAGAAGAGAAGATGGCAAGACTCATATACTCTGGGGATGCTACGAGGAAGGATCAATCCCTGGAGAAAGACATCGTGCTTGGTAAAGCAGAGGACCATCAACAGGATGGATTGACACACCAAAAAATGGCTTCAACAATAGGCTTAAGTATAGCAAAGATTGTGAGTATGGGTTAGGATTGGGTGGGCTTTACTTCTGTGGTACATGGTATTGATTTGAATTGGAGCTGACTTCGTGGCATCTAAGAGTAATCACAACAATAAAAATGTGACTCCGACATTGGGCTGATAACACGTCAAGCTCAATACCTGACAGCATGAAGATGTTGGGAAATGATTTCATCTTTTCCTGATTCACTCTCCTCACTTTTAAAGGGAGTATGAGAATAGTACTTACCTCACAAAGCTGTAAGGAGGCACAGTGAGTTAACACATAGAAAATGCTTGAAAGTGGTGCTTGGCACAAACCCTACACTCAGTTATTGTTAACCCCTAATGAGCTCTGGAAATAATGAAGAAGGAAATGTAGTTAGGAAGTATGGAGAGGTTATTTCTTAGGGAGGGACACCATGCTTGGAAAATTGGAGGGGACAGCAAACCAAGTGGATTGACACAGTGACTACAGCAATGGGCTTGAGTGTTTCAGAAATTGTGAGAATGGCACAGAATAGGGCAGGTTCACATTTGCTGTCTGTAGGGTCACTATGAGTTGTACTCAACCTACTATCAATGAGTTCTGGTTGCCTGGTAGTAAAAAGCTGTGCTGCAATCTCAAGGGTACATTGTTAGAATCCACCAGCTGCTCCATGAGAGAAGGATGGGCTATCTCCTCTGGTGCAATTTACTGCCTCTGAAGAAAACCTCCTGGAGGGTCACCTATGAGTCGGTTCTGATTCTACGACAGACAACAGTAACAACAACAAATGACAATAATACATCAGGGTTTTTTTCAGCCTCTAACTACACCTTTGGTGTGTGAAAGATGACAAATGCATTTTAAATTGTTTGTGAGCTGAAACTTTTGCCTTCATTTTCTGCATCATAGTAAATTCTATGCAGAAGAATGTGCCATTAAGGTGGGAGGAAGATTCATCAACCTTGCATTATACAGATGGTAAAACCTTGTTTGCTTAAAATGAGGAGGACTTAAAATGCTTACTGCAGAAGGTAAAATACTATGGGCTTCAATATAGATTGCATCTCAACATCAAGGAAACAAATATCCTCACTACTGAGCTGACAAACAGCATCATGATTGATGGAGAAAAGATTGAAATTGTTGATTTCATCTTGCTTGAAACCACAGTCAGTACCTGGGTAGTACAGTAGTCAGGAGACCAGGAAATGTATTGCATTGGGCAAGTATGCTGTCAAGGACCTTTCCAAATTACTGAGGAGAAATGATGTCAGTTTGAGAACTAAGGTGCACCTGATTAAGACTGTGATCTTTTCAGTCATTTACATCTGAGAGCTAAACAAGTAATAAGAAGGACTGAAAAGCAATTGATGCCTTTGAGCTATAGTGTTGGAGAAGAGTACAGAATTGACTGCCTAAAGAACAAACATGTTTTGGAAAAAGTGCAGTCAGATTGCTCCTTAGAGGCAAGGATGGTGAGGCTTTCTCTCATATACTTTGGGCATATAGCCAGGAGAGTCCACTCCTTGGAAAAGGACATCATGCGTGGAAAGCTGGAGGGTCAGTGAAAGAGAAGAAAACCCTCCATGAGGGCGTGTTGACACAGAAACTGCAGCAATGGGCTCAAGGGTGATGGTGAGGATGACACCAGATAGCACAGGGTTCAGATTTGTTGTTCATAGGCTCCCTGTGGGTAATAAAGGCTCGAATACACCTAACAGCACAAACAAAAACAGTACTCTGGTGGCACAGTTGTAAAGAGAGGTGCTGCTATCGTAAAGGTGACCAGTTTGAATCCAGCAGCAACTATAAAAGAGAAAAGATGGACAACCCTCTCCTGTGCAATTTAGAGCCTTGGAAACTTGCTTGGAAGGTAAGCTGTAAGTTCATTCTGACAAGACAGCAATGAGGGGAGTTTTGTTGAATTCTCTGCAGTCTGGATTCTGTCTTCCCAGCTTCTAAAATGGCCGTTGTGAAGATCACTCAAATCACATTCAACTGCCTTTGCCCCATCTTCTGGAAAAGTAGAGTTTTAAAAGTCAGCCAGTCTAGCCTGGGTAATTCCCCAAAGAGGAAGCTGACACTGGGTGAAATCTTTTGGCTTGCCATAGTTTATTTGTGATAGACTTAAAGTTTTCAGCTTTACTTGGTCGTTTATTTGCAAAATGACACTGATGGTCTCACTTCAGGATTTATATCTTTTTTGACAAGCAGTGAAAGGGACTTGGAAAACAACATGTGGTTGGGATAAGAACTCCCCTCTCCACAAACCTTGCTTATCAATGATATGGATTGGCTGATATGTCCTCCTCTGTCTTTCCAAGAAGTACTCAGGTCCTGGGAGCCCCCTGTTGTCTCTGAAGACCAGCAGGTTTCCTGGTGGGGAATGTTTTCCCTTCCCTGTGACTTGCCTCTCTGATTTCCCTGCTGGCTCTTTTGTTTCCTTGGGCTGGCTCCCTCCTTTGGTGATTTTCAGTGAGGGCTTTGATACCTGCCAAGAGGTGAGAGCAAGGGGTTGGATGATGGATGACCCTGCTTCCCAGGGAGTTTTGGGTCAGGAAAAATCCAGCTGATAAGTTTTTCCAGAATTGAATAACCCAGAAACCCAGTACCAGCAGGATCTTCCCTCTTTTGTGTTTTTTTTAGGTGTGAATTTTACAGGATGTTCTTAGCTGGGTTTGCACATCTTAGTTGGAACACAGTTACCTCCCTGATAGATCTAGATGAATGTGATAGGAATTGTGAATTGCTTTAGGAATAACATAAGGAGAGGTTTGGAGGAAGGAAGAGGGGATTTTAAAAAAAAATCCCTACCAAAATATTTTTTCTTCCAAGTTTTGAAAAGGCACAATATAACCCTTTCTTTGTCTAAATGATCTCATTGCTATTTATTGAAGGGAAATACCAAACGTCTAATTTTTTTTTTTAGAAAGGGCATTTCTTTGGTCCTGATGATTCATGGCTATATCATTTTCCTCCTGACTCCAGAGGCTCTGAGATAAAGCAACACCCCCAAGGAGCACCCGGGTGTCAGAACAATTCCAGTCCGGCAGGCAGGAGCTCCTGCAACCTTCTTGTTCTCTGTGCAGACGTCCTTGAGCCTTCCAGACGGAAGTGGACCGAGTTCTTCAGCCCTCATGCAAAACAACCATCTAAACATAACAGATGACATCAGCTTGGGCTTTTCAATTCCTGGATGGCAGCAGCGTGCTAATCCAGCCTTCATCCTGGATTTCATAAACTAAAACAAGAGAGCCTGGCAGGAGGACAGCGCTGCTGCTGGGTTGAGGAAATTGATGACGGGAAAGCAATGCGGGCAACCCAGTGTATAAAACTCCTAAACGTGTAGGCAGAGGTGCAGCGACCACTCTGGAAGCTGGACGGCCACTTCCCCCACTGCACCCCCAGGGAAGGAGACTGTCAGCGGGGAGTCATGAAGAACGTCTTGATGCTGCTGACGGCTCTCCTGGTCCCCGTGCACCTGGCCACGGCCTGGAGCAGCAAGTATGCGGTGGATTGTCCTGAACTCTGTGACAGTAACGCGTGTAAGAACAGCCTGCGCTGCAAGCGGACAGTGCTCGACGACTGTGGCTGCTGCCGCGTGTGCGCTGCAGGGCGGGGCGAAACCTGCTACCGCACAGTCTCCGGCATGGACGGCGTCAAGTGTGGCCCCGGGCTCAGGTGTCAGTTTTACAGTGAGGAGGATGATTTTGGTGACGAGTTTGGTATCTGCAAAGGTAAAGAGTGATCTCTTGCTTCTCTCTACCTCCAGAACCAGTGGATGACTTTTAGCTAGTTTGGGAGGTGACAGGTCTGCTCTCCAAAGAGGGGATAAATGCACAGGTGGTGTCAGAGGTTTCTAGCAACACCCACCAGTATGCAAGGGGGACACAGGATTGCATTTCAATCCTATTATTCAGGGGGTTTAACAGAAAATGTTGCAATGGAAGGTGGTTCTGCCTTTTTTTTTCCCCTGGAAACTAAAAATGTGACAGATGATCTGTTACAGAGAGCTGACGTGCCATCTCCTCTCCCAGGCCAGCGATAACAGAGGTCTCCACTTAGACAACCTCTGGAATGGCTTCTAGCCCCGGGCTTCAGTGATTCTTTGATCATGAAAGTGTCCACAGGGTGGAGGACATCGCTCAAGGTCAAAGATTTCTGATGGACACTAATGTACTTCATGGAATAGAGTGGGTTTACAGTATACAGTAAAATGATTCATGTTCTTGGAAAAAGGTACTCTGAAATATAAAGTAGACCTGCTTTATAAAGATTTGGGACGTCTAGGAAACACTAGTGATTAGAAGAATGTCAGAAATACAGTTAAATATAGATCAGTATTTGTAAAATTTATTTTAAAATTAGTTACTCGAGTTTATAATATTTAGAATGAAAATGGTGATTTAAAATACTCTACATATGGTACTCCTGAGCTGATTATTAAGCACTATATTAAAGATGCAACCCATACTATGAGACCCATTCATCAGTTTTACTATTGTAAAACGTATCCTTTACTATTGTAACATAAGTCTTTTTTTTTCCTGTCAAGTGGGAGTTGACTCATAGCTGACCCTCCAGCAGGTTTTCAGAGGCTGTAATCGCATAAGAGGAGAGATTGCCCCTTCTTTCTCCTATATTAAAAGGATCAGAATATTTAAAAATTGATACTTACATTTTATATTTCTAAGGCAATGATATGTGTTGATGACTGACAATCACCCATTATTAAGGCATAGTCATTGTTTCTCCTATCTTTAAGAAAAATAGTGTATAAATTGATCATCTTTTAATCCACAACGCATTGGAAAGGCTAAGAAAAATTTGAATGATTAAGAGAATTTTCATTTTTGGTTATAACCAATAAGAAACAGAATCCTAATGAAACATTTCCTTGAGTTAACATAGACAGATGTTTCTTTTGACTGACTAGGCTGTGTAGTTTCTGCAAATTGCAGAGCTTATCAGCCAAGAAAACAGTTCTTCACTTACCAAAATTAGAGAGGAAGTGGTTAACACAATCATAAATATGGTGTACCAAGAATATTCAGTGGATTGCTTTTTTCTCTTGGCATAAGAACACCCTTGTAAATGTATAATCACTGCAAGAAAAAACATAAGCTGTGAGGCATCTGTAGTCTTCCAACTTGATAGCCACTGAATGGTCAAGGTAGATGCTAATACGATCCATTTTAAAAGATTTCGCCATGAGTCTGGTTCTGAACTTTTTCTCCTCTGCTGGCAGGAATAAGCCTATGTAAGCCTCAGCGATTTGAGATGGAGATCTGACACTTTGCTGGAGGCAAACTCCCTTTTTCAGCTCTTTTACTGAACACCCACGTGGAAATTGTACACTTCAGCTGCACAGCCAGATGCTTTCTAAATAGTCAGATGTTTGGCATTGCACTGCCCAGATCACAGTCAACCAGCCAATGCACATTTATTGGGCACATGCTGTATGCCTGGCCCTGCTCATTATATCAGGGATGCAGTGAGAGGACAGCAGGAAATCTGACAGCAATTTTGCTTTCAGGATCCTGAACATCACTGCAGGCACAGTGAAAACCCAACAAGGATTAGTCTTCCCAGCAGGGAAAGAACATGTTTGAAAGCAGAGGCTTCTGCAATCTGAAGGATGCCGTAAAGACTAATCTTAGAACTCTTTAAAAGACATCTCCTTAGCATCACTCTTGATCAAACACCTGACATTTTGTCTCCTCACTCATATGTGATCATTTATTTACGTGTACGTTTTCATGCCAAGGGAAAACAAAACAAAACATCAATCCTGCCTGATGCTTGAAGACTGAAGAAACAGTATATATACAGAGATGCTGGTTAAGCCATTAAAGTCATGCACTTAACATAAAGGAGTGTGTCCTCTTTATCTTGGTACAGCATGCTTTAATCCAAGTGTAAAACCGTTGGAACTCTGAAAGTTTTTGGCATATGTATATAAATAGAGCTCTGGCTGCCTAATAGGTAAGGATTTGCACTGCCAACCCAAAGGTGGTTCAAATCCACTAGCTTCTCTATGGGAGAAAGATGGGTGATTGCCTCTCGTGGGATTTACAGTCTCTGAAAACACACTGGAGGGACAGTTATAAGTCTGTTCTGACTTGATGGCAATGAGAGCTTTTAATATAAATAGTTAACCCTACACAGTCTTATTCATTTAGTGGAGTGCATGTTAACTTGACAGAGTTTTACTAGTCAATCTTCCCCACAAGTGAGAAAGCTAGTGAAATTTCCTACAGAGCAGCTGGTGGCCTTGAACTGCCTGCCTTCTGGATTGCAGTGCAGCTTCTTGCTACTAGGCCACCAGAGCTCCCCTTTTTGAAAGATAAGGAACTTGAAAAGAATGAGATTGGCTCTAGAGGATTGGTACACTGGATAAGATTTTTAAGTTCTGGTTAGTTTGAAGACCCTCTGTATTTTAAATTCTTGGTTTTTTATATACAGTGCGGTAAAACATAGCCTCACATCCTTTAGGTTGTTTGAGAAGCCGATGCATCTGTCTGCTTAATCTCCCACCTTCACTGAGCTGGACAAGCTCATGGCCATTTAAGCAGAAACTGAATTACAACTGGGCCATGGGGACTAACGATGTATAACTGTCTTCAAACTTTGCAGCAAAACTCTTAAGCACAAGTGTCTTCAATTTTTAAGATTGAGGTTTTCAAGAATTGGGTTTTATTTGACGATCAAGATTTCAGAAGATTAGTTCAAATTCTGAGCCTTTAGGGTCTTAGGGCTTAGGCGTGTCAGCCCTCTCTTTTAACCCTTTTCTTGCCCTCAGATTGTCCCTATGGCACCTTCGGGATGGAATGTAAAGAGACCTGCAAATGCCAGTCAGGTATATGCGACAGAGCAACCGGCAAATGCCTCAAGTTTCGCTTCTTCCAGTATTCATTTGGCAGATCTTCCAGCAGGAGATTTGTTTCTCACACAGGTAAGAACTGTTTCCACTATAAACCCTGGTGCCATAGTTTCATTTCTAGTTTGAATGAGAATGGTTGTTAGCTCTCTATTTTGGCTCATGGAACCCTAATGTGACAGTGTAGAACTGCCGCATAGGCTTTTCAACAATGGTAATACTTACGGAAGCAAATTGCCAAGTCTTTCTCTCATGGAGTCAGTGGGTGGATGCAAACCACTAGCCTTTTGTTGAGCAGTCATTGCACCACCAGGACTTCTTGAGAGTAGAAAATGATGTTGGTTTAGGGGTTTTGTTGTTGGTTTGTTTTGGGTTTGTTTTTTTGTTTTCGTTTTCCACGCCTGGTTGTTGTGTTTAGTGGTTACTACCGTTTTCCAAAAAGATCCCATCAATAGTATTGAGGATAACTTTTCCTAGTTTTGGACTTAGGTTGAAAGTTCTCTGTGCTTTGAAGGATAAGAAAAATGTCTTATGTCTCCAGAACAAAAGAACGATGCATCAGGAGCTAGCTAGGCATTGGCGTTGCACCAACTCAGGTCAGAATCCTAAGGAGCTCTGGCGGCTTAGTGGTAAGGGATTGTGCTGCCAATTCAAAGAACCATGGTTCGAATCTACGGGCTGCTCTGTAGGAGAAAGATGGACAATATCCTCCCATGTAATTTACTGCCTCTGAAAATTCACTAGTGGATCAGCTATGAGTTAGTTCTGACTTGATGGTACACAACAACAAAATTCACCTACTTAATATGAAAAATAAGTATGGTTAGTTATTAAAAAACATGCAATTAAAAAGCAGCCAACTGAGATATGTAAAGTTCTTGAAATTCTTTTGTGGTCTGCTTTATATACTTAACAGACAAAGCTACTGCTTTCCCAAATTTAAATAAAAAAGAAAATACTCAGAAGAATTTATTGGATAAGGTTTAAGAGCTAAGAAAGAAAATATAAACATTATCCCTTTTATTATTATTAACCAGATAGAGACCCTTAAATGGAGTCATTCCAGGTGTACATTCTTGTGTCCAGGGTGGGAGACCGTCTCTGTGATTGAAATTTTAGAAATGAATGTAATTATGATGACACCCAGGTGTTTCTTGTTAGTCTGTGTGTACTTCTCTTACAGGTTCTTAAAAATGTGAGAAATACCTAGTACGAAAAATAGTGTTTTTGGTTATCTGGCTGAATAATTGGCCAGCACAGCAAAAAGCCGTCAAATTGAAAACAGCTTATTCAAAATGACACGTCTTCACAGAAATTGCTAGTATCAACAAACTACGTATTTTTCAGGTATACATGATTGATAATAGAAGAATCATTTCATGGAGGTATTTCCTCCTCAGAGTTGGCTGCACTTCAAAATAATTAAGAAATGAACTAGTTAGCAAATGTTCTCATTTTCCTAGTTTTACATCCTTCCTACAGATGGGTAGAACCGAGCAGATGACAACGAAAGAGAAATAATGTGTTAAAGTTTTGACTTATGCCCTGGTGGTGTAGTGTGTTAAGTGTTTGGAAAACCTGCTGATTTGAATCCACCAGCCAGCTCCATGGGAATGAGATGGCCAGCTCTCTCCTGTAAAGGTGTACGGCCTTGGAAAATTGATGAGGTTTGGGTTGGGGAATGTCTGTAAATGTGGATGTAAAAGGAAAACTTTTTTACCTATTAAGTGGATATCTTTGTGACTATTTGGCTGGGAAATGGGGACTTTAGAACCATTTTAAATCTTTATGATTTAGCCTTACAGTTATTGAAAAACCAAATAGAAAAACACTGGATCTCAGAAGTCGTGCAAATAGCTATAATAAAAGTGCAGTGACTTTTATATAATGTAACATTCACCAACCTAAAGTGAACAGTTTGGTGGCATTAAATACACTCAGTGGTGCACAACCACCACCTCTGTCTAATTCCAGGTCATTCTCATCACCCTAAAGTCAAACTCCACGGCTCCAGTCACTTCCCTTCTCTTCTTCTCCCAGCCTCCTGCAACTGCAAATCTGTTTCCTGAGACCTGGAGTGTTTTCGAATGACTAAATTACATCTAGTTATTGTTGTTTGTTGTTGATTGCCATCGACTAGAGCACGACTCATAGTGACCCTATGAACAAAAGACCTAAAGCCTTTCTATAACTGTTGTCATTTCTCAAAGTTCTTAGAGTTTCCAGAAGCATGTTGTTTAGGAAGTGGATGCCAGTACGTCTAGCACGGATTAGAAAATTATTGTCTTCTCAGTATAGCTAGGTGCTTCATACCCTGGCTGCTTCTCTTGCCTTATTTTGCTTTTTGAAGACCACAAGTCAAAAAGTACTTTGCAGGGATAGCTCACACATAGGCCAGTACTTATTTGAGAGTGAATTGACATTTTTCCCACCAAGAGAGGAAATGGAATCCAAGTGAATCTGTGTTGGTGTCTGACCTGAAATCTGTGGGGAGGCGTGTGTGTGCTTTCGCAATGATCCTCTGTGGTGGGCGTCTTCTCTGTGTCTCACTGTATCCCCTCTGCTACACTTGGCAAGTGATGTTTGTTCTTGGTCTGTCTCCAATGGGCTGCCTTACAGTATCTTTCTTCAAGTCTGTCACACTCTCACCTGCTTGCAGATTTTGCAAATATTGTTACTACCAAATGAGGTCTTAAGGGATCCCTGGTGGCCCAGAGGGCAATGAGTTGTGCTGTCAACCCAAAGGCAAGTGGTCTGACTCTGCTCGCTGCTCCACGAAGGAAAGATAGGCAGTCTCCTCCCATGAGATTTATTGTCTCTAAAAACTCACTGAAGGGTCAGCTATGAGTTGGTTCCCGCTCCACAGAAATGAGTGTGCGAGCTTTGGGAATAGATTTCTTTGTGGGAGTAAATTACATTGTAAGTGACACAAAGATATTGCCGTATATAGAAAATTTAGATATCAAGATCCTTATTAGAAATTTGTGCAAAAAAGAGCTGGGTGTCTCTCTCCTCTGACCAGAGATGTTTTCTTTCCATCAGCAGCACAAAGTGATACCACCTGTTTTGTTGTCAGGTTTTGAAGAGAGCGGGATTTGCTAGGCACCCGGGATTCTGTTCTCACTCAGGCATCACTCCATGATGCATCCTGGGGTTGGAGTGCTGTTTTTTGCAGGAAGGGACTTGGAAAGATCTTGGACCATAGGCTTCACCTGTGCACAGACCTGTTTGGGACCAGCCTTTGAGAAAAAGTTAAAAGGCTCCAAGCCTTTGTCCACGGGAAGGTGTACTGCAAGCCCAAAGGCTGAGTTTGAATCCACCACTGGCTGCATCTAAGAAAGATGGAAAATCTCTTCCTGTAAGATTTATCACCTTGGAAACCCAGGGGAGAGTCAGCTCTGACTTGGTTCCATCTCAACAGCAATGACAGAGAGGACTCCTTGAGGTTCTTTTCACACCTTTATTGTGTGGAGGGTTTTTTTTCCCCAACTTTCTGATTGTTGACTGAAAACATGTCTTGATCTAGTTTTCACTGGAAGGTTCTAAAATACCTCATGAATTTACGTGCATTTGTGCTAATCTTGTAGCACCTATTTCAGGACACACTGCTTAAGCAAGTATGCCTCACTATTCTTAGAAGCTGACCATTTTCCTTTAGAAGAAAAAGAGAAACTATGTAGCATAAACTTTATGTAGATTTAAGAGTCATCTTTAGAAATGTCCTGTCCTTTGTTCTGCCTTCTGCCCTTTGGAGCTACAACCAACTGTAAGCTAATCCTTTGCCTGTATCAGTTAGGGTAAAAACCTTAGGCAGAGATCTGTTCTTACGGCACTTGCTTTTCAAGAAATATTCACTGATTATCAACTACGTTCTAGACAGTATTTTAAGTGCTGGAAAGATAGAAATGAGCAAAATACGATCCCTGCCTTCATGGAGCTGTTAGTCTAGGATGGAGAGATAATAGTAATTCTCTAAAAAGTAATTTAGAAAAGATAAATACACAGATTGCTCCACGTGGTAGTGGATACTTGGAGAGAAATAATTCAAGGAAGTTCCATCTCAGACACAAGGTGGTGGCCTAGTGGGTAAGGAATTTCCCTGCCAACCCCCAGCAGGTGCTTCAAATCCACCTCTAGAGAAAGATGGGCATTCTTTTCCTGTGCAATTTATAACCTCTGAAAACCTAACGGAAGGTCAGCAATGAGGCAGTTCCAATTCAAAGGCAGTGAATTTGAATTCTCGGGTTTTTATTTAGATGGAGTGGTGGCAATCATTAGCATAAAATCTTTAATATAGTCAACTTAACATTTCCTTATGGTTTCTGTTGAAAAACAAAACCAAACAAGACAATACGTTTCTTGATCTTGGAGTTATTAAGGTTTGAACTTGACTTGTGTTCCCTCTAATTTCAGACCATGATGTGGCGTCTGGTGATGGAAATGCCGTGAGGGAAGAAATTTCCCGGCCTCCTGTAATGAAATGGTTAAACCCACGCTGACACTAGGAGGGAACGTCCAAGTGAAGGAGCTGCTTTGATTGTTCAACACACAGGCAAATTTTGGAGCTGTCTAGATTATAGGGTATGGACATGTGACTTTTGGAGACCAATTAAAATTCAGGGTGGGTCAAAAAAATTAGCAGGCTAATTTGCAAACTGTAAAACGCATATGAACATTTTTAGATGCTCATTTGTTAACTATCTCAATGCTGAACATATAGATTTGTTAAGTGTTTGTATAGTAACTCTAAAGATCTAAAAATGCCATTTAGATAATGCTGACGTAGAAGCACAGAGAATTCTAGCCACACCTGAAGGCTGCGGTGAGCAAGTGGGTTCTCTGACTGGGATTAATGTTGGGGTGGAGGATGGAGGAAGAGTTAGGGACAAGAGAAGGTGGGAGTGAGTGCAGCCCTGGGAGTGTAATGTTTAGGCTTGAGTATAAACCATTTCCTCCCCCCCCCCCCATCGTGGGAAAAGTCAAAACAAAACACTCAGAAAACCTCTGAAGAAATTAGAACATTTGGAACTTGCTGAAATTTGAGCAACAACCTTGAAGGAAGGCTCATTTCAAAGGACTGCTAACTCATCCTTGGGGCACATGTATCTGAGAGATAATTCTGTGGCAGAGGGAGAACTTCTTTTGAAAGTTCTTCCATCCTTGGTTTTAAAGGATGCAAACTCAGAGGTAGAGCTATGAAGTGTTTTGCTCACTCAGAGGAGATGTGAAGGAAAATATTTATATATTTTTATAAAAGAAAAAAATTTTTACTATGAGTCAACCTTCATACCAGTATTTATCGTCTTTAAGAGAAAATGAATATAATATTAATCTTGTTTAAAATGGTTAGGATAAAGATAGAACCCTATAAAGTTTTCATTATTAGTGGTGTTATAAACTTATTGTTAAAAATGACAATAATATTAGCAGTAATAATCACAAGAAAAACAGAAAAGTCCAGTCCTATGGATTTATAAGTTGTTAAAAATGAGTAACAGAGAGAATTTATTTAAATGTGAATATAGTGACTTAAGTGAGTTTTAAATTTAAAGTGGTAAAGAAACTTCTTAAGAGATGTATAACCAAGGAGTCAACTTTCAGTAGGAATGTGTCAACTTTAAGATATAGTATTTTATAATTTTTTTTCTTCTTTAAAATATAATAAAGAACACATTTAGGAAGTTCACCGCACAAATAAGATTGTAATAAATACCTTTAGGAAATAATTGCAGAAGTATTTTATTTGTAGTGAAGAAGTTATTTAAGAATTATTTCACTATTTACCTGTATTTTATTCTAGAAGTTTGTGGACAGAGTTGTGACTATGGGTATGGGAGCATCTTGGAATATTTGCTGAATAAATGGCTAAGTTTTGTTTTGAAAGGATGCGTTTATTACTGTTCAATAAAAAACCCCAAATAAGATAAAGTTGTTCTGAGTTGAGTCATCATTTCAAGTTATTTTAATGATTCATCCAGGTAGGTCTGAAATGCCTTTTATGCATATTAAAAGACAGCTTCTTTAACAAAAAAATTATGCCACAGACAAGGTATTTTCACCAAATTAAGCTCTATTTTACAAAAACCTCATATCCTTGGGGAGCTCTGGTGGCCTAGTGGCAAGAAGGTGCACTGCAATCCCAGAGGTACATGGTTCAAATCCACCAGATGCTCTGTTGGAAAAGGAGAGGCAATCTCCCCCTGTACCTGTCAGATCTGATTTGTCGGTACACACACGAAAAAGAATAAAATTGAAAAAAATTTAAAAAACAAAAACAAAAAAACTCATATCCTTACCAGGCAAAAAAAAGAAACATTGCCTGATCCTGTGCCACCTTATATTAACTGGCCCCTCCTGACAACAGGCTCAAAATATGTTAGATGAAGTCTCACCATCTCAGCATCTTAGGAGCGCTCAGCAAGATGAATTGGCACCTTGGGCACGGCAAAGACGGCATGGACGGCACACTATCGACCAGGCTTTCATGATTATATACAAGGACTCTGTTGGAGGCAACTCGACAGCACCTGCCAACAATAGGTCTTGGGTGGCTGTGTCACACGGCGTCAAGACACTAAACTTAGAACACTTTTGACTCTATTTCCATTGCTTTGTTGTCTTTTCCTGGATTTTAACTTGTTTGACGGTAAAAAATTTCCGATTAAACTGTTCTACATTCTGGGAGGAAACAAAAACAATGAAATGTTACTTAGTAGTTAGCTATTGAAGTTTGGTGGCCTAAGTGTAAAGAGTTACACAGCCAACCCGAAGACACATGATTCAAATTCACCAGCAGCTCTGAGAGAGAAACAAGAGCAATCTTCTCCTCTGTGATTTTCCACTGCTGAAAATTCAGTGGAGGGTCAATTCCATTTGCTTCCAATTCAAAGACATATACCAACAATTGACTGAAAATCACCGATTTAAAAATGTCAGCCCATTTTTACTCATCAGCTCATTTATATTCTCACTTATAAATATCATTCATATTTTGCTTTTCGCTACTGCTTAAGGCTTTGAAGCGAGCTTGCACTTTGCCCTTAGAAAACACAAAGACACGGCAATTCTTTTAGTGACTATAGAGGAATGGACCCATCCAACCTTGTCGCTTGACAGCATCGTACCCAGAGCGTTTCATGCTTACTCATGCTTATGAGGAATTACAGAAATCTTTCACATGCAGTAATAAAATCCAAGATAGAGAAATATGTGGACATAAGTAAAAGCATTCAGTTTATTTTTTAGAAGAATAGAGACTAGAACTAGTTTGTAACTGATCAAAGCTTATAAACTAACAGATAAAAAGTTCTGTTACTATCAGATATTGTTATGTGCTGTGCTGTCCAATCACCTACGACTCATAGCAACCCTATGCACAACAGCTCAGAACCCTGCTCTATCCTGAGCCAACCTTATTGTCTCTGACACACCTACTCCCATTACCCCAATCACTGAGTCAGTCCATCTCATCCAGGCTCTTTCTCTCTTGCACTGTCCCTCCACCCTCCCAAGCATGATGTCCTTCTCTAAGGACTGGCCTCTCCTGGCTACTTGCCCAAAGTGTGTCAGACAGAGCTTCAAAAGAAGCAGCCTGGTTTCACCTTCTGCAGGATTGACCTGATTGTTCTCTTAACAGTCCATGGTATAGTGCATCTATCTCAGAGCTCCAGAGCTAGCTGATTTATGTCTGTGTGTAGAAATGCTTTGAGGCAGAAGGAGAGCTCGGAGTCCTGCTTATTTGTCGTTGTTCAGTCCTGTGTGTACGGTGAAATTATTTATCCTTTCAAGGCCAGGAAGCTCTCAGGCATATGTGCTACTGGATTAAGATTACCCCAGATCACAAAACATGTCCACATATTGGGGGTGGCAAGAGTTTTGGTTTTTTATGTGTGTTTTTCCCTTAAATGACTAAAAAAATGTTCATACTTTACTTGCCTATCTGCAGAGAATAGAGAATTTAGCATATCACAAATTTCAATCCCAAACATATTCAATAAAACTACTCCTAAAAAAAGAAAAAAAAATACCAAGCCAGTCCATGGTATACTCAATACTCTTCAGAACCACAACTCAAAGGTATCGATTCTTCTTCTGTCATCCTTAGTCATAGTCCAGCTCTGATGCAAAGCAAATAATTATGAAGACCATAGCCTGGATCAAGTGTGCCTTAGTCTCTACAGTAATTTTGTTACTCTTCAGTACTCTGGAGAGGTCCCTGACAGGATATTTTCCCATTGCAATTCGTCTTTTGGTTTCCTGGCTGCTGGTGCCAAGAGTGTTGATTATGGAGCCAAGCAAGCTCTCAATCTCTTCACCATATATCATGATGGTGCCAATTGTTCCAGCAGTGAGAATCTCTGTTTTGTTGATATTGAACTTCAATTCATATTAAAGGCTGCAGTCCTTGACTTTCTCCAGCAAATGCCCCAGGTCTTCCTTAGTTTCAGCAAGCAAGGTTGTGTTATCTGCATAAGGCAAGTTGTTGATGAGTAGTCCTCCAATCTTGATGCTACATTTCTCTTCATAGAACCCAGACTCCCAGACTATCTGTTCTGCATATAAATTGAAAAGGTATGAAGATGTTTCTCCCTGATTTTAAACCATGCAGTATTTCCTTGATCTGTTAGTACTCTTATTAAATAAAAAGGACCTATTATTTAGTAATGGACCTTCCTTGTATGCATATGCATAATATCACTCACAACACTGTGTTTCAGGATAAAACCTGAAATGTACTTTTGACTATGAGTGCAATATGATTTTTCTTCTGTTTTTCATTCTCAGCATAGTATGCCATATGATTATCTGATGGTCTGATTCAAAGTGGAAAAAGATAGTCCATCTTATCTCACTAATGCCTAGAATGTTGATGTTCATGCATTTCATTCCATTTTTTACAACTTCTAATTTGTCAACACTCAAGCTATGTAGATTTAATGTTCTAATTATTGTCTATCTGTGTTTCATTGATTATGCAAAGGCATTTGACTGTGTGGGTC